GCACACACGCACCCACACTTATTACAAATTCGCCCTCACTCGGAGGGACCAAAAGAATAATACAATTTAATTAACCTACAAGCTAATTAAATATTACAGACAATTAACTAGTTAAGTAAATTAACTAAGCTAATTAAGCAGTAAAAATCAGCCTCGGGAAGAGGGTCCAATGCATGCACGCTCGGTTTCGCTCGGAAATCCGCCACCATGCACAAGTTGCCTCTGTTTTTCCTGCTCTGCTCCTCTAAAAATGGCACAATTCCTAAGGAACACTCTCTGGATATTATAGAACACCACCGGTCAAGGGGAATGGTCACCGGCCATGGCAGGGTGGTCATCGACCATCCATGGAGCCATCGGCCATCCATAAATGGTCGATCGGCACTTGGTGTAGTCGACCGGCCAAAGCTTCCTGCAGAATCTGTTTTGACAGCAGTAGAGGGCAAAACAAGGCATGGCAATGCATTTCAAGCAATGTTTGCACCAACCACACTCCTTATCATATTCATGACTCAAAGGGGCATGGTACTCGATTTTCGGACCACCAGTCGCGCATTTCAATGTGTGATGGCCCAAGAACCAAGTATGCATTTTTAATGTGGGATGAAATGCACACAAACAAACAATGAGCTTAACCTCAATCATACTCAATTCAAGAGGCAAAGCATGCATGCCAATGCCATGCGACCTAGGCATGTGAGCTAATATGCAACATGACAATGCAAACAAACACACAAGGCATGATGCATCAATGCTAGCCAACAAACATACAAGATGTAATACGGATGTTGAAGCACACAAACAAGCATGTGATGGGCCAAGTATGCAACAACATACAAGGCTAATGGGCATGCAAGACATGATGCAATCAAAGCATGCAAAGTGTAAGGCATGTAACAACATGTAAAGAGTGGGATTGGACTTAGACTAATTTGGGAAGCTCTCAACTAGGCCCAAAACAGTGGCCAAAAGCCGTAGAAATGAGGGCCAAAACACATACAAACATGCATGCATACAAGGTCTAACACTTAGGCATATAGAGACAACTTTTAAGCACACTTAAAAGAGGAACATCATGGGCATATGGCATGCATTATAAACTCTGAAATCATGTTATAAAATGATGCCTAATCAATCTAAACAAGGCAATGAAAGCATACAAGCAAAGTCCGAGGTCTAAGGCTCACCAAAGAGGTATTGAACTACCCTTAACAAAACCAAACACGGCATGAATTGAATGACCAAAATCAGAGTTTTAACATGCTAAAGCAAAGCCAAAAACCCAACAATGTGGCATCCTAGAAGCCTACACATGATGGCATACACAATGGCACATTTATGGAGCATTAAACATGAACTCTTTAAGGCTTTGAAAGAACACCAAATGCAAGCATACAAGCATGCTAAATGGACTGAAATGGCATGACAAGTGGTTCCAAACCACTGAAACAAAGTAAGGATGGCATGCTAGAGGGGTCAATGCTCAAGGCATACAAAGGGAATTACATGGTAGCTATACAAAGCAAAGCATGGATGACCCAAATGACCAAAAACAGACCTTTAGCATGCTAACACACGCATAAAAGCTTCACAAAGCTAGGCCTAAATCATGCTAGAACAAGGCTCAAAGCACAAAGCATGTTAAGGCTAAAACATGGCATTACAAGACAAGTATGCAAGGCAAGCATGGTGTGTCTAAACCAAGTAAAAAAAGAGGTAAAACATGGTAAAATACTACCAAATACCTACTGAAGCATGGCCAACATGGTCTCAAAAATGTTGCTCACACATGAGACTTAAATGGCACATATTGAAGACAACAAGGAGAAGGGGTGGCCCTCTCCTTCTTGGGACCTTAAACCACCATCCTCACCACTAAATCTCTCAAGATTTCAGTGGTGAGGAGGACCAAACAAGGTGGTCCCGGAGCTCACCAAAATAGCACAAAAATAGGGCCTAACAAGGCCTAAGAGGGGTCAAACAACCCCAAAGCTAAAAGCAACCTTAAACAACTATTTTAAGCAGGTAAAAACAAGACTTTTATATGTTATATACTAAGCTTAAAACAGCAAGCAAGGTAGGCAAAAAGACTATGCAAAGATGGGGTAAAAAGGGCAAGAATATTACCCTTGAAGACCTTCTTCACAAGGATCACTCCAGCAGCTTTCTTAGCTCCAAACCAGCTCAAAAACTTCAAGGACAACCCCCCAATGCCTCAGCAACTGAGGTAAGGTGTAATGGTAGGTGTTCTAGTGCAAAACTAAGGACAAACACACACTTAGAACAAAAGAGAGAGAGAAATAGAGATAGAATAGATACACTATGCTAACCCTAGAACCAGAGCTCCCCTGGGATTTTTTATAACCTTAGAGGAGGGAGGACAGGCCTCCTCTTTATAGAAGATCACTCTTGCAAAGCTTACAAAACAAGCTTGGCAAAAGTGAAATCCCTCTATACACGTGTATGGAGGGGAGAAAAGGTGTCCGCCAGCTGTAAAAATATCTGCAAAAGCAGATGCACAATGATCGACCAGCCAAAAATACTATTTTGACAAAATAAATGGCCGACCGACCATCTAGAGTGCCGATCGGCCAAACATCTGACCGATGGCAACAAAAAACTGGCCGATGGCCTCAAGCCATGGCCGATGATGTGTGGGGATGGCCCACAAGCCATTCCCTACCCCTCCAAGGCAAAACACAAGTGTTTGGTGCAAAACCACACACAAAACAGTCGAGTCGAGAGATCCTGAGGCAAGGCACGTGACCGAGACCTCCGGGAACTCAAGACAAACACAAACGTGGATGATCACCGAGTGTTCAAACGGTGACGTCCAAGTCTTGAGGATGGTCAAAAATTGGGTGTCTACACGCTTGAGCGGGGAAATTGACGCTCCAGCAGGAAATGCGTGTATCTAGTACTTTGCATGTGTTTACAGTCCGCTCGAGCGGGGTAATGCACGCTCGAGCGAGAACTTGTGTCTAACACTCGAGCAGGTATCGAGCACCCATCGAACGTGAATTTAATGCATCCAGCACTTTTTCATAAGTTTGCAGTCCGCTCGAGCAGGAAAATCCACACTCGAGCGAAGCTTCTTTGTCTGCATGTCCGCTTGAGCAGGGGAATCCACGCTCGAGCGTGGACCTTATTTTCAGAAATTTTCCTAAGTGTTCCATGGCACGTTTTGGCATCCTCATTGCATCTTAGGCATCTCTAAGCCTTAATTAAGCTTTGATAATGAGGTTATGGATTAGAAACACACTAAGAAAAGAATGTACTAAGTTCCGAGACTGCAAGTGTGTGTGTGTTAGGCATTGTGATAAGAAAGGTTAAGAACCAATGTAATAAAAGCTAAACCTTAATGGCCTCTTGAATGTGTAATGATAAGACATACTTGTGTTATGTATTTTGTGATTGTAGGTCAAGACTTGAGGATTGATTGACCGCTTACTGGAACCACTGTGAGTAACATTTCTGTAAAGATATATTGATATGAATTATGTTCCAAATGAAATGTGATAAGCTATGATTTCTAAAATGATATCTGTTTACGTGAACAAACACCCCAAGTTTGAAATCTATTATGACATCCATAGATAGTCCTAAGTCATGGGGGACGACATGAAAATGCGGGTCCATAACATACAAGTAATTACGAGATCTCGTTAGCCACTTCATTGTGGTGATATGTGTTTAATCGGTATCCGAAACCGATTACTCTAGTCGAAAGATGTTCTGTAATGTGTTCTATGGGATGTACCATTATTATGTTCTGATATGAGAATGATTATGCTATGATCTGTTTTCTGCTTATGATATGTTCGGATTTCGTTCACTAACCTCTTTACCTTAATGTTATTCACTGGGCTTTAGCTCACTGTTTGTATATATATATATATATATATGTATAGGTGAGCATTTTGGAGTTCAAGTCTGGAGACTTTTTGTCTGGATCTATGTTCTGTTGTCAGCCAGCTATTGTGCCTCACGTGGAGGTTCCCGAAGTGTCCAGTGTCCAAGTTTTGTTGGTTCTGTATATATATATGACTTGATGTAATTCTGTTAGCTGCACTTCAGATACTTTAATGTGTATGGGTATAATGTATGATTGACTTTTGACTATGTATATAAAGTTTTTAAATATTCCGTTTCATATAAGTCAGCACAGCTCATTGGACAACTATATTTATGTAATTGCTTCCGCTAGCCCCTTATTATATGCTTATCTGTTCAGAGGCCTTCGGTAATCTAAGGATTACTGGGCGGTTACGATGCTAAACCTATAGGGGCGGGTTTGGGTCGTGACAACAAGGGCATCTTGTGAATTAGTTTTGGAAAGAAGAAATGAGAAATGGGATTGATTGTCATTGTTGTGATGATATTTTGAAAATCGAGAAATACTATGAAATATTAATTATTGCATCATGTTTTCAATTGGTTTATTATCATTATTGTACATCTTGGCAAGAGTTGGAAAAAAAACATTTACATTAAGAAAGATTACATTGTAATGAGAACTATGGAAATGTGGTATGGGGAAAATACGTGGTAAGTCCGGTTAAGGGGTGTAGTTGTACTTGATAAGTTGGCCTGAGTGTCCTTGGTGAAAGACCAGAAACCGCGCGGATAGGTGTCGAGCCTTCCGGTTGATACCGGTAAAAATGACAATTTGGTAGTACTTATAGAGTCTACTTGCAGACACGTCTAGTTTCCTTACTCGGGAATTTTTGCGGGCCAAACCGGATGAGTTCCTCGGTGGTCCCGAGCCCAAGAAAGCAGATGAGTGGCTCGAGCAAACAGTGAAGACATTCGAGATGCTTCACATTGAGGATAGTGAACTAAGGGTGACCCTAGCTAGTTACCACCTAAAAGGGAATGCAGGGCAATGGTGGAAGTGCGCTAAAGGTAGCATAGAGCCAACATGGGAAGCATTTGTGATTGCTTTACAGGATAAGCATTTGTGATTGAGGCAAGAGTTTCTGGACCTCAAGCAACATAACATGTCCGTGGCCGAGTTTGAGGCTGCTTTTTCGAGTTTGTCCCGGTTTGCACCGGAATTGGTGGCAACGGAAGAACGCCGTTGTATAGAGTTTGAGAAAAAGTTGAGAACGAAGATCTTGTTCAAAGTTGCCGGAAACATGATCCAAAAGTATGCCCATCTTGTGGAGGCGACGGCACATGTAGAGACTACGGTGCAGGTTGAGAAGGAGAGACTCCGGGGTTCAAGGTCTAGGGGCCAAGAACCACAGGTGGACTTTAGGCAGAATAAGAAAAGCATGGGCAACTTTCCATTCCAGTCCCAACCACAACAGTCTAGATCTACTTTTCCTTTGCCTAGTTCGGGCCTGGGAAAGAGCACACAGAGTGGCTTTTCTTGTTTCAAGTGTGGCCAACTAGGTCACAAAGCCTTTGCATGCCCACAGAAGGGAGGAGGGCATTTGATGTTACCACCACCACCTAGTCAATCTTAGAGTCAGTCCCAGAATAGGGGACAGTGGTTTAATTGTTTTCAGTGTGGTCAGCCGGGGCACATGGAAAGGACTTGCCCACAATTGGGAGGCACATCTGGTGCATCGAGATCGAGGCAGACTTAGAGTCACCAGCAAGCTCATTCAGTTCAGACTTCACAAACCAATCAGGGAACCACTTAAGGTCAATCAGTACATCAGGCCTATCCTCCAAGGAAGGAGCAAGTTCACCGGGGGCCACAGGGGCTTGTGTATGCTATTACCGCGCCAGAGCAGTTACCGGGAACCTCAGTTGTGCGAGGTATTTTTGTTGTGTGCAATACTTTGGCTAACGTATTGATAGACACGGGTGCATCTCATTCATTTATATCTATTGTATTTGTTTCTACATTGGGGTTAGAGGTGGCACAGTTAGCGTCTCTGCTCAGAGTAGAGTCACCTGTTGGGGATATGATTGATTTAGACCAGGGGTGTCATGATTGTGAGATAGAAGTTGCAAGGCATCGACTTCCATTTGCTTTTGTATTGCTAGACATGTCAAGTTTTGATGTCATTTTAGGCATGGACTGGTTATGTTCGTACCGAGCTGTGATAGATTATTATCATCAGAGAGTTACAGTTTGCACCTCAGGTGGTGATTGTTTTTATTTTCTGGGGAACCGAGTTGATAGGGTCTTGTCACCAGTCTTTGACCCTCGTAGTAGGAGCAAGCTTAGTGGCCTTCTTGCAACACTCTTGAATTGTGAGAGTGACTGTAGACACCCCATTTTTGACCAACCCTAAGACTCAGACATCATCGATTGAGCACTCAGTGATTGCGCATGTTGTGCTCGTTCTGAAGTTTCGGAGTTCTCGGTTGAGAGCTTTGCCTCTGGGCCTCGGAACTTTTTTGTGCTTTGACTCGGTTTGCAGACCAGGTCTTGTTTTCTCTTCCCGAAGGGAGGGAGAGGTCTTGTAGACCATCTCTCAGTGGTCGTAGACTACTTTTCGTGGTCGTAGGCCACTGTTCCTGTTTGGAGACTAGTTTCCGGTTTTCGGGGCCGCCGGTCGTGCGCCTTGGCTCGGGACCGCTTAACATTCTTCGTTTGGCACGGTTTTTGGGGCACACCTTGTTTCCTCCGTCTAGAGGAACACTGTGGTCCGGGAGACCACTTTTGTGGCCGTACGCCACTTTTGGTGCTCAACAGCTAGTTTTCGGGGCACCCGGCCGCACGTTTTGCCCCCCGAACTCTCGTTTTGCATCCGTGTTGGTTCATTTTTGGCATGAACCTTGTTTTCCTTGTTTGGGAGGTGGTACAAGGGTGGGAGACCACCTTTTCTCCTTGGAGGCCACTTTCTCCCCCGCCAGCTGATTTTCTTGTCAGGAAGCTGGTTTTCTTGGTCTTTGGGCCACATTTGCTGGTCTCCCACCACACCACTAGCTTGCTTTCAAAGTGGAGACCACCAAATGGAGCCACTGACCAGTTTTTGTGTGGGAGACCACTTGCCCTGGTCGGTCGACCAGCTTAACTGGTCGGCCAGATTCCTCCTGTTTTGTCTGTCTGAGTGCATGCCAGCTAGAAGGCACAGACTGGATCCTCCATACACGTGTATGGCAGATTTGTACCCTTGCTTTAGCTTCTTGAGGAAGCTTAAACCCTTGCTCTAGCTTCTTGAGGAAGCTTGAACCTTTGCTCTAGCTTCTTGAGGAAACTTGAACCTTTGCTCCTCTATAAGAGAGGGCCTCCCTCTCCTTATACTAGGTTCAGATTTTTGTCTAAGGCAAAAAACATATCTCTCTCTATATCTCTACATTTTCGCCCCAAAGAGTGTGTTATTCTTAGCCCTTTGCACCACACCTGATAGCCTAACACCTCCACCATTGTTACTGAGTTCTTGGAGGGTCTTGAGAGGTCTCAAAGGTTGAGTTTTTTTGGTCCAGAAGTTGCTGGTTTTTGTTGAGCTTCAAGGGTAATCACTTTTCCCTCTTTTAAGCATTATTTTGATCCTTCTCTTAGCCTCATTTGCATGCTTATTTGAGGTTTGTTGTCAACTGAAAAAAGCTTTATTTTTAAGCATTATTCATGTTTGTTTAACGCTATTTTCCTGTTGGAGGTCATCTACCCTCTTGCACGCTCCATTTAGTCTTGTTTTGAGCCATGCCTTAAGGCCTTTGTGTTGACCTTTGCTTGGCCTTTTAGCCATAGAAATCTAGTGGATTTTCAGTGGTTGGCATGCTGTTTTGAGGGCCTAAATCAGAGAGGGGAGACCCTCTCTCTTTTGGCCTTGTTTGTTGGCATTTTTGGCCTTTCAAAGGAGCCCATATTTCCACACTTCCTAGCCTTGGTTCAGGCCATTTTTAGTGACTTTTAGGACCTACCTAGACTCTGTCTATGGCTGGTTTGGTCACCTCATATTTGCCTCTTGCATGTGTAGAATAATCCTCTTCATAGCTTATCAAATGAGCATGTCATTCTTGCATGTATTGGTCATGTTTCAGTGGGTTTTTGGTTATTATTTGGCATATCATAGCTCTGTCTTTGGCTGGTTTAGTGGCCTCTTGAATGCTTCACATGCTTGTAGTGTAAACCATGCTCACTAGCTTACATTGCATGTTGTTTTGGCCATTGATTCTATCATATTTTGGCCATACTTCAAACTAATTTTGTTCATATTTTGGGCTGCCTTAGCTCTGTTTTGAGGCCTCTTGGTCAAATGATGCTTTCCATGCATACTTGTAGTGTAATATCCTTGCCTAGCCTTGAGTTTTGGAGCCCCTTGCATGCTTAACTTGAGGTGTTTCCATGTCTTAGCATCATTGAGCATGTTATTTCAGAGCCTATACTTGTGCCATGTTCCCATGTTTTCCACTCTTTAAATGCGTTTGAGAGTTGTGCTTGTATACCTCATTTATGGGCCATTACATGAGCTTCATTTTTGTGCATTTCAAGCCATCATCTTAGTCCATTTTGCCACTTTTTTGGGCCTGCATAGGGACTGTTTGGGGTTGGTTTGTTCATTTGGGCATTACTTTGCATACCTCTAATGTAATGCACTTCACTAGTTTCGGTATTTGAGCCATTCAACATGCATAACATGAGTCGTTTACATGATTCGGGACCATTTTGAATGTCATTTCAGAGCTGGAACATATAGCGATCCCGGGTTTACCCTTGTTGTACAGTGATCCGGACATGTGTCCGTGGATGCTAGTAGTTGATTATTATCTTGTTTACATCCTTTCTTACTTTGTATATGAGTTATAGGATGTGTTGGGCATGTTTGTTACAGGTGGGTTGAGTTTAGAAACCAAAACTAGTTGCCCAGATTTTGACCTGTCCGCTCGAGCGGGGGGGTTGGCGCTCGAGCGGGAATTGCACCCATCCAGTATTTCCTGTGCAGTGTTGGATGCTCGAGCGTATGGTTGGCCGCTCGAGCGGGGTTGTCTGAGTGTCGCTCGAGCGGGGAGTTGGAAGCTCGAGCGGAGACCTGGTTCTGTAAAAAGTTCTGGGAGTGTGCATCCACCGCCCGAGCGGGATGGTTGACGCTCGAGCGGGAGTCTGTGAGTGACGCTCGAGCGGGGAGTTGGACGCTCGAGCGGGGCGACTGGGTTTAAGTTCCGTGTTTTGACTTTTCAAATCACTTTTTCACTTTCTCTTCTCTCTCCTACTTTTCCAAAAACACCATTGTTGAGCCTCTCACTCTAGAACTCAACCTTCTCTCTAGGTTTTGATCTAGTAGGAGTGATTTGCTCATCTTTGGCCTTTACAAAAAAGTTGTTGATCGTCCGAGGCCTACCAGTATACCTTAACGATCTATTTGGAAATTAAATGAAAAAGGAAATTGAATAGAAAAGGAAATTGAATAAAAATGGAAGT